GTACAACAAATGGTAAAAAGATGCAAAATGCTTTGATAGCGCAGTGGACAGATGGGTAAATATGACAAGGAAAATCTCTGAAGTAATTAGACTTCAAGCCCACACAATCAACACAGTATTTGATATATAAGCATATATATCAGTCTGAGGCACATTCAGTATTTGTTTATTAAGTCCACTTGAATTGAGAGATGAATTATTTTAAAATAATGCAGTAGACTGCAGCAAGACTCTGGAAAACTGGACAAGAAATGCTGCCAGCATCAAAACACATTATAGCTTTAGATTAGCATTTAATTTACAGCTGGAGGAATGTTGGAAATACTCAAAATCTACACAGATGCTTTAAAATCTGTTTCATAAATATGTTTTTAAACTGCATTGTATTGAAGCACTAGAATCCCAGGAATTTTGAATTAGGATGTTTTTGCAAAATCTCTGTTTTGTTGTCATTTTATAAAAGTATTTCTTCATATAATATCTGCACATAGGGGCTGCAAGGTGGCGCAGTTGGTTAGCACTGTTGCCTCGCACCAAGAAGGTCGCTGGTTTGCGTCCCGGTGAGGACACCCGGGATCTTTCTGTGTGGAGTTTGCATGTTCTACCCGTGCAGCGTGGGTTCTCTCCGGGTTCTCCAGCTTCCTCCCACAAGGTCCAAAAACATGTTGAGGTTAATTGGTGATTCTAAATTGTCCGTAGGTGTGAATGTGAGTGTGCTTGGTTGTCTGTCTCTAAGTGTAGCCCTGTGATAGACTGGTGACCTGTCCAGGGTGTCCCCTGCCTTCACTGGGATTGACTCCAGCCCCCCACGACCCTAGTGAGGATTAAGTGGTGTATAGATAATGGATGGATGGATGGATACCTGCACATATCTACAGTCATACAGTTGAGGTGGGGTTAGACAACTAAAACACTTTGTTTTCCATCACAGCCCCACATTTAAACATCCACAGTTGCCACAACTTCCGCAAACTCTCATCTGAAGCACAAAGCTCCGGTGTGTTACCACCCATCGCCCACCCAGACCTCCTCTCTCACTGTCTCCTAAAGGCCGCACTATTTCTTCCCTTGGCACTAAACGTTGCATATATTACAAATGCACATTACAAATCCAATTCCAAAGGATACTGGGTAACTCACTGGAGCTGAAATAAAGCCACTGAGGTGTTTTGTACCTCGGTGTTTGGCTGGCATTAGGTCTGCACTGCTGATCAATAGAAAACAGGGAAACAATGTTCAGCCAGAATTGGCCCCAGTTACTCATTGATCAGGGACCTTGGAAATACCCTCAATTATTCTTTGCTGCATGGATGACACCCAACTTCACATTCCTCTTTTCCTCCTTCCGCCCTCCCGGGTTGTCTTCCAGCCATCAACGTCTGCAACAACATTCTCTTTGGAAATAAAAGTGAAGCACAAGGACCTGACATCCCAAAAGCTGCCCTCTCACTATTTCCACCGGTGACTTGTCTGGTTCTCGCACCGAATCAAAAGTCTTGGTGTCAAACTCGACAGAATACTTTCCTTTGACCATATCACCTTCTTCTTCTTCTTCATCCAGCTCCCCCGTCTCCCTGCTCATCAATGTATTCATTACAAGAATCTACAACTTACCTTCAAAGCCCTCCATAATCTGACTCCCCCATACCTGTCAGACCATCCCCATCCTTACACCCCCTCCTGATCCTCATCAGCGGCTATGCTGTCTGTTCCTGCAGCCGCTCTGCACCAAGACTCCGGACGACTGGACGCAGCTCATCTGTTTACGTACTTAAAATAATTCACCTGCAATCAGGTCATCACACTCCGGTTTTAATACTCGCTGTTTAATAATTTTATGCTTTGTTGTATTTTATGGTGTTCTTTTGAAAGGCACCAACAAATGAGAATCTCTTATTCATATTAACATCACAGTGTAGCCAATGCAAGATGTTGTTGCAGGAAATCTAAACCATGCAGCATGAATGATTAAACCTGCAGCAAACCCAGCAGAGGCAGGTCGCCTCAACATTCAAGCTGGGTATCCATGAAGGTATCTGGTGTGTTTAGGGCTCGCACGAAGCGTGATAGAGGGTAAACGGTCATTTGGGGGTTTAATTCCGGGAAGGCCCCACTTAGCTGGATGGACTGAGTAATGAGCTCACTGTATAAGGGGGTTACTGCAGGCTCATGCTAATGCCTGGAAGTTAAAAGGGGAAAAACGAAGGAGCCTGCAGGCAAAACACGCTGACACGCTAGAAAGATGTGCATGTTTCAGGTGGATGCACACACTTTGTGTCACAGCAACTCCCACCGGAGGTCCAACGGGGGGAGGCAATTCAGCCTCAGTGTGCAGAGGGGAGTTCTTGAAGACAAAACTGAAGTCTAGACTTATTTAATGCTCCCCGCTTTCGCAATCTGTTGCAGGAAACGCGCAGGTAAAGTTTAGAAAAAGGCACATCATGAATGAAACATGAATTTTGACTCAAGGATCCATACAGCTGACATTTGGTAACGTTAAGTGTAATAAATTCCAAGTGATTCCCCCAAAATGTACAACCTGAGAAAATGTCAGTAAATGCGGTATAAGTCACTTTAAAAATTAAAAGGTCTCATCCATCATGAGTGACATTTGAAGCCCTCGCTGGAACATGTCACTACCTGCTGCCTCACGCTGACTCGCAATCACCGGTCGACTTCTTGTTTACCTGAAGCTGCGCGGAGAAGAACGTCAGACGCTAAATCTGGGCACTTGTGATTTGACACAGGTCTGGTAATGCATGTGTTTAACACATTCACATGAAGTTTGATTGAGTTTTATCTTGCATGCTAGTTTCACAACATCTGGAGAATTAAAAGTACAAAAAAAATTAAAATTCTTAGACACATATGTGGAAGAACTGATTCACCATTAAAAAAAATCGAGCTTTAAATCCATAATCGTCCTAAAGTTTTGTGTAATCTGCCAACAGGCTGGTAGTGATGCTTTTATTTGTGATAAATGTTGAGTTTAGGGTTAAAAAAGAACAATATGAGGAGACCAGTCCTCATTGTTGAAGACCTCTTCTTTTTTTTAAGTATTTATTTTTACATCTCCATTGGAAAGTATTTCAAAAAAATCCATCAGTCTATCAAATTGTTAGAAAAAAAACCCAACCTAGTGTGATGAAGCTTCTCTGGTGTCTATTGGTGTCTATCTCTGACCCAAAACCATTAAGACACTTAATGTTCGGCTTCTCCGTTTGATAGGACTTGTCGAGTGCGGAGATGAAACTGTGGGAGAGCAGTGAACAGCAGAAAAAATCATTTCTGCAACTAATGGATCTCTGGTTAGGAAAATGTTTCATGGATGCTGCTTTGATTTCACTATAGAAATATCTAAGATTTATTTATTTCTTTTTAATGAAAGAGTCAAACTCCTCAGTACGACGGATCCTGAATAGCTTCTCCCTTTTTTTTTTTTTTTACTGGTTTGCAGATGAATTATGGATGATTGTTTGATGCCTGAAACAAAGAATTCAAGGTTTCTTTTGAAGTGTCACTTCACCCTGCTTCTGTTGTGATGTGTGTATTCTGAATTGTATTGCCAAGGACATCATGAAGCGAAAGGTAGCACGAACAAAGCATTACATGAAATGAAAACGAGCAGAACGAGAGCCGATCGCCTTTAAACGAAACATGCCTCAAAGATGCAGAGGTGCTGGCTTCAACAAATGACAAACTGTAGATCATCAGAGGCTATGAATTATGAAAGAGGCGCAGCAGAGGCCAACGAGGATTTCTAAATGCTCCAAGATCAATGATATCGAGGGGTTCTCTTAAATCAATAAGAAAGACAGCTGATAGAGAGCCCTGGTTGGTAGATGATAGCAGATCATTTTTTTACTTGAATTACTGCTGTCTCAGTGCAAGTGGTCTGGCGGAAAATTGGAAGACATCCTGGAGAGTTTTTTTTTTTTAATTGGAAAAGTAAGTCAGACAGAGGATTTTATCACCATCTAGTATTGTTTTAGTCGAGTGGAGCCGCGGATTATGTCCTCAAATAAGCTGTGATGTTCACCAAAGGCATGTAAAAACAGTGGAGCATCTACCTGACCTGTTTGCAGGATATTGATCCCATTTTTTTACATGAATCTCTTTGTTTCAGTCTTATTTACTACTTGAACCAAATGGGAATAAATTGAGCAGGTGCAGCATGTGATAGATTTAAGAGGAGACTGCGATGGGGGCTGCAAAAAAAAAAAAAAAGGGGGGAGTATCATGTGTTCGGTTTGCTTTGCAGTGCAAATCTTTTTGGTGTTTCTCTGCTGCATGCAGTGTTCATGCACCTTTCCTCCCCTCCGTTCCCCATCCCTCGTTCCTTGCTATGCTGCACATGGGTGACATAGGACTGAACTAGTGCGGGCTGCTCTGTGCTCCAGCTGCATCTGCTTCTGAGCCCACAGGGAAATGGTGTGTGTGTGTGTGTGTGTGCACTTGTAAGTGTGTGTGCATGTGTGTGCCTGTGCACCAGCGCTGGCCAGAAAATATGGCAAGAGCACAGGGATTGCAGGGCTCTGCACTTACCTAAGCCATTCACAGGCTCAGCATCACACAGTTGATTCAGCACCTTGCTAATAGCGCACACATTAACTGCAGCACAGATCAGAGGAGGAGTGCAGTTATGACAGGGAGCCCGGCGTTTGTTCTCGCTCATTGTGTGTGTGTGTGTTTGTGTGTGTGTGGATGTATGTGAGAGAACGTCTGTGTTGAGCAAATGTGTGCACGGTGCGTCTAGTGTGTGTTTGTGAGAGAAAGAGAAATAGAGGCAGAGAGAGTGAGAGCGGGAGGGAGAGAGAGGGAGAGAAAGAGCGGACGTGTGTTAGTGGGAGCTGGGAGGAAGGATGGCTGCTCATGTTTGAACTGCCTCAAATGCTCAAAGGGAGAGTCAAGGCAAAAATTCAGCAGAGGCAGAGAAACAGACGTCTCACTGGGGGACGCATCTTGTTCATCATTTGTGGGGAAGCAGAAAAGATTTGGCAATGCCTGCTGAAGTGAAAGAGGTAAGTGTGTGGTGGAATGGCTCTATTTGCTCTGTACCCTCCCTCTTTTTTTTTTTTTTTTTTTGCCCATCAGTTTTTTTTTTTCTTCCTCTCCTTTCTGCAGAAAACTGTAGCAATCCACAGCTTTGCATTCTGCCTCTGTCATGATGAATGAAGGAGGCATCAATCGCTTCACCTCCTTTCCTCTCACTGCTGGTCGGTGCAGTCTCCTTGTGTGCATGGGGACATGATGCTAACATCTTCATCAAGTGTGTGCGTCCGTGTGTGTGTGTGTGTGTGTGTGCATGCACGCGCTCGACTGTGCATGTGTGCAAATTCCGAGGAAATATAAAGGGGATAAATGTGATTGCATTATGAGGAGAGGCTGCTCCTGTGGGGGGTAATGCTGCACACATCCTGATGTATCAGTGAGACATTAAATTTGACCATGCAGCATTTAACTGTTTGAGGATCAGAGTGTGATCTGGAGTGAAAGGTGGCTCCGAATGGAAAGTTTGACAGCGAATATCCTCTCTTCCTTCTGGGCTGTCATTTTGAATCAGCATTCCTTTCAAATACCAACAAGCGTGGTTGCATTAAGGTTAAACATGACGTGTTGCATAATGGACAATGGTGTTTGTGCGGGAAACTAGTCTTAAATAAGAATAGTCTTTTCATGCATCTGCCATTTCAGTTTGCAGCGCGGAGTGACAGATCCTGCACATTTGCACTCGCCAACATGAGCATCACTGATTCAACAGATAGTAGAGGGCAGATGAGTTGTGGCGAAGTTGTGACTAATGTCTTCTGACATCAGTGGGCTGATGTCATGTTTTATTATCCTGTGGAAACATTACTGTTTCATTCCTGACGTTTGATAAAGACAGGCTGCCTGCTCGGGCTAATTTATACCCCAGTTTGATCACTGCAAAACGACTTGATGCCCCATTGATGGGATTGCAATCGAGTGCCCATTTTTCAAATCATCTTTCTGGAATAGATTTGTGACAAGTTTGAGTCACGGCTTGTGGCCATCATGCCCTTGAGTTAGCCACCAAAATCTGGACTCACTCAGCATTAGATCAGACTCTGTGTCTCCCAAAATAATACCCTGGCTGCAGCTGGCCTCAATACTCAGAGTTGATGGGAACAAGATGCTAATCATGTCATTCTGTCTCCTGCACCACTGCACCTAACATCTATATGCTATACCTTGTGTTTTTTAGTTGTTTTTTTTTAAAAGCAAAGTCAGATTCAGAATCATCATCTTGACCTATTTGGCTCTGCGAGCACGCTTAGTTAGTGATGGTGCAGTGAGTTATTTAAATGAGCTTTGACTCACAGTGGCCTGGCCTTCCCTGGAGCTCGAATCAGACGCGGGACAGCACACAGGCCCCTGTCCAGCCTATTATCGTCCTCCAAATCCTTAATCAAGCTGTCTGTAGAGGACAGTAGAACCCCGTCTGTCTTTTGGCCAAGCATTCATTTAGTGCCGCCTAACAATATCCAATCAACTCCCCTCCCTCCTCCTCCTCCTCCCCGAGGCCTTCAAGCCAGGATCATCTCCCCGCTGCCAGTTTCTCCCGGGTGACCCTTTCATCTCCTCTTCCTTCTGACACATTTTGTACATGGATATGAGGAGCTCTTGTGTTTGGTGAGGTGTTTGAAAATCAAGCTCTCTCCCTCTCTCTCCCCCTTTCTCTCTCCCTCTCTCGCTCTCTCCACATCCAGTCAGCTGTTCACTGCAGCCTGATTTAATGCAGTGGAGTTTAGTTCTCGCCACTTGTTCGGTTTAATGCCGCAGCCTCAGAAAAGAAGAGAGTTTGGGGAGGTTTAACTGTTTAACTCGTCATTTCGCATATTGTGTCTGAGCTATTGAGTGATGCATTTTAAGAGGAGATTATATGCATATTCCTCCCAATGAGAATTGATTTAGACAGTGGATAAGCAGCACAAGAAGTGAAGTAACGCATAAATGATACAGTGGGCTGATTTCCCCTCGTAATTTAATTACGCTCTGATGTTTTCGATTGCTTGTTTGCATGATTTTTTTTTCTTCGTCCTACATATTAGGAGGCTTTCACTGCTGCACTCAGAAGGGCTCAGAAGACGGAAAGCGGCGTATCACATAATCAGTTATTTATTGTGATCAATAGAGCAGCGAATCAAATTTCGGGAGACTACACACTCAAGAGAAAGTTTGTAGGAAAGTCAGCATAAAAGGTGTTTACAGTCAAAAACTGCCTCCAGTTCTCTCTCAGACCGAGTCGCTGAATAATTAATCCACTCTGCTTAATGAAACCCATTTTGTCGAGGAGAAAAAAAGAGCACAAATTTAAGTTGTTAGGCTGAAATAAACACGAGTAAATTACAGAAATATCCACATGTTGTATCAGAGCAGCAGCTGGACTATTTACTCAGGAGTCAGCGGTGGTGGTAAATCAGGTCTCACAAAATAATCATTTAAATGACAGTGACTGGCTGACTCACATCCAATCCCAGTACAATGTGGATGTGTTTTGTCAATGGGCCATTTTTTTTAATTTATTTTTTTAAATAAATGGTTACATAACACAAAGAGGACAACAACATGGGTCTGTTGAAAAATCTGCAACTATAACCAACATTTTCAGCGCTGGTTTCATCAGACACAGATAGCCATACGGATATTTCATATTTAATATTTCCGTCAGTTGAAGTTGACCTACTAAACTGCAGCTGAGATGCCCGGCGCAGATGCTAAAAAAAATCACCCATCCTCTCGCGTTTGCAATCGCCGAAGACGACAAGGCCGAGCTATTTAAGCTCAAATCATGCAACAAAACACAATTTGTATCTTCGCATTTGACGTTTGAAAGCCTCATTGTGAGAGGCTGCGTCTGCTGCTGCTTTTGTAAAGAAAGACATTCTCTCGCTGAAATCATAACAAAAGTTCAAACAATTGTTGTGAAAGTTGTCTGATAACTTTATCAATCTGAAACAGGCCAGTAATTGCTCAATTTAAATAGGAATTGAGCCTGAAAGTAGAAGAATTGGCTATTAAGGCGAAAATAAATGAAAGCACACCCCAGTGCACATGTAAATAAGAAACCAATCATGCATCTATCAAAAGATTCTGATGTATCAGGAGCTGTTTCGACTTTTTTTTTGTCACAGCACCCTGAGAGAGAGAAGAAAACTGATATATATCGTGCGCCACCCTGTAGTCTGTACACAAAGACGCGACACCCCGCAGTCACTTATTCTGCCATCCTTTATTATATCTCTGCATTTCTTTTTTTGTGTGTGTTGTCTAAACACAACCGCTGTCAGAACCAGCCAGAGCCCTTTGTTTTCCTGTGGACACATCGCCCAATTAGATCACCTGAAAACTTCAAACGCAGAGAAAACGCAGCACATTTTCCACACACAAAGTTGGTCTTATTTAAAAAAAAGTGTTTGCCATTTGTCAGCATGAGTTCAACAGTTCATGTTTTGAGTGAAAACAAATCTGATATGATAATGGAACTGATGTGACTCCGCTCACAAGCCTGACATTAAGCGCAGCCTCCTCATCGTGTGCAGACGGGCCTAATGACACGGTGTTGCAATCACCACGCTGCCCACCCTTTAATCATCCCCATGATTGCGCATAATGTAAACATTTTGTACTTAATGCACATAAACGATGCTGATTTCTGTGTGTGCTTTAAGGAGCAGAGTTCAGAGGGGCCTCCTCCACTCACTTTGTCCCAGGAGGCCAAAGAGGCAACTCTGGATAACCCGTCCGCCAACGACGAGCTGGACACGCCCACCTCCATCGCCTCTGTGATGACCTCCACCAACGAGAGCTCCACAGAGACCGACACCCCACAGCAGACGGACACTGAGGTTCTTGGCTTTATGGTCACGCTCCATCACCACCTATTGACTTATTATAATTTCTATTGCTCTCATTGACTGGCGAGACCACTAGCTTACAAAGTGTGCTAAAAAAAAAAAGGTTCTGCAGGTTTTTTTCCCGCCTCAAAATCTATCATAAGGAATGATAAAGACATATTTGTCAGTGTATGAAGTTGGAATGTTTTTCATATGGCATGTTTCATGATATTCTAGGAATGAAAGAATAGGAGGAGTGAGGGGTTAGGGTAGGATCAAACCCATCAAATCTGAAGTAAAACAATCCTTCCAACAGTTTGAAACCATTTAAAGCTATCTTCCTCCATTATTTATCGTCTGCTTCCGAATTCCAAATGTGACTCCGGTGTCCTGAATTTTCAGAATAAAACATTCAAACTGTTTCTGTTACTGTGACAGACGCAGGGAGCCAAATTGCCCTGAGGCGCGACGATAATCTTAAATTTAACGCAATTAGATTCCGTTTCATTTAGTTGCCGCGTATTTGCATATTTTTGGGGCCCGAAGAAGAAACAAAAACAAGTTTTTCTTGACACTCTGCGACAAAAGAGTTCAATCAATTTACTACAGCAGACAATTAAATTTCCTGCAATTTACTCTACTTCTAAACAGTGGCTGGACCTCAAGTTGTTTCATCAGAGTCCAATCTAAACTCATTTTCAACTAAGGGGAATTCATTATTCTTTGGCAGGAAAGAAGAATTCATTATTTACTGGAGGCTCGCGAAGCCAGGGACGTGCTGAAATGATGATGATTGATCATCACAGTGAGAAATGGGATGGGCTGTACAGTTTAAGCGAAATGATAAACACACGCTGCAGGTAACAGGAACGTGTTTGGTCTGTTCCTAGTAAATTAAGGCCAAATACTTTCTGCTCTGACTGTAAACACGTCAATTTAGTGGCATTTAGCGGGAAGAGATGAAACCCGCAGACCTTTCAGACAAATGGGGGATTTAAAGACGGGTTCTGATTAGACTTGTGCAGAGATAATAGCTTGGGTGCATCAATCCTTGCAGGAGTCCAAGGCTGCGGAACAAGAAGGCGAACAGGCCCCGAGTGAGACCCAAGAATCCTCAGAGACGCAGCAGGAGAACTTCCCGACGTCACCTGATCTCGCATCCACTCCAGTGGCTCCAGAAAACCCTCCCGCTGAGCAGCCGGTCCCTGAGGCGAACATCGAACCCCCCGAGTCCGCGGCACCGACCACGACGACCAGCACCACGACTACGGCGCCCTCTCAGCAGCCTCAGTTGGTTCTGCAGCCCGGGGAGCCTCATGCGGCGAACCCAGACAGCCAGAGCAGAGTGTACACAATCCCCGACGCCTACAGAGGCATCGGGGGCGACCTGTGCGCCGGGTATGGAAGCCTGTCCCGCATCACCCTCCACGGCTACTGGCCCAACAAAAACTTCCAGCCCGGCGCCCACTACACCTTACCCTTCCTCAGGGACAGCTACGCCCCCGCAGGCCTCAGCAGCCAGACGGAGGAGGACGGCCTCAGCGAACGGGGAGAAAACCCCCTGGACGTGAAGACGGATCACTCAGCTGCCAGCTACCCGACACTGGGGGGAATCCACCAGTTTAGGCCAATTACCACCATGGAGCTCCTCAGGGAGCCCTCGAGAACCAGGTGAGGGGATGCTACATTAGATGAGATGATATTGATCCCACAGGGGGGACTGTGTAAATGGGTTTCGAGGACTCTTGCGGTTTTTCCGTGGTGCCTAGAGGTGGGGTCAAATACAGATCAGACCCTTGGTGGATATTTTGAAAGTGAGTAAGTGATATTTTTTTGCGTTCTGTACTTTTGCTGCATCTCCATGTGGAAATGTGGATGGAGGTTTGGGATGGAGTTTCATTTTTTGGGGGGAACTAGATTGGCGGTTAAATGATGAGTCTGGGTCACTGGAATATCAATACGGTCCCTGGTAATGAGTCACCTTTAACAGAGGTGCTGGGGAGGCCTTTGACATGAATAGTTGGGATAAATTCACAGTATAACAGCTTAGTTTTCATAAAATAATACAAGAAACACATTGCCACAGCATGCACTGAGATTGTACAGGAAGTGGAACATGCATATTTTACTGTCATGTTTATATCTGACAGACTAATTGCCTCCAGTAACAACATATTCCTTTCATGTGGTCTGACTGCATAGAAACAAAATCTATAAAAACCCCAAACTGCCAAAACATCTAATCACACTTACAAGTTTTCATTTAGCTCTTCTCTTTAAACACGGAGATAAAAGCAGAGATGTCGCAAATGTGACGCGGGGGGGAAAGTTTAAATGTCAAGAAAGTGTGAGAAGCGTGCAGCGTTAAGCAGCGAAGCAACAAAGCACAAATCAACACTTGGGCTAATTTTATCAAATGGAACCTGCCGCGACAACTCTGTCGCTACACAGACATCCAGAGTTTGCCTCCATCCAGCACCCTGTACGTCTGCCTGGGTAACAGACGGACAGATGGACGGCAGTTAAGTAGCAGCTGGTATCAATCAGGAAATGGCAGCCTGCTGCAAAGTTGATAAATACGGAGGATTCACCTCTTATTGCCTGACAAAGCCCCGGTAGAAGGACGGGATCTGTTCACGAGAGATACAACGCCGTTAAAGTCGCTGAGGCTCAGTTTATTGGACAGAACTTCCGCTGAACCTGTTTACTTCAATCTGTTGAACGCTTAAAGGAGCAGTTTTGAGAATATTCACGTTCTTGTGGAAGAATCAGACGAGGAGATTAATGTCACTCTCGCACTCACAGCCAGGAGAGGGTTAGCATCGCTTAGAATGGAGAGCAGATGTAGAGAGAAAACAGACAACCTGGCTTTGTTCAAAGGTGAGAAAATCCACCTCAAGTCTAGTCTTAATTCAGTTCACAGATTCTGGGGTTAATCTTCTCCTCTGACACTCAGCAGGAATGTGTATAAGTGTGTTGCTCAATACACAGGTAATACGCGGTAAAAATTAAAGTCTTTTAACACGTTTTAATTGCACTGCAAATTAACAATTTGCCATTATTTTAATTATTTGCTGTTGAAAAATAAATAAATAAATAAATCACAGATAATAACTCACAAAATCATTTTTAAAAAGCATCAATTTTCCATAAAAAAACAGACCAAAACTGTGAATAATATTCAAATTAAGGCTCTGTAGTTTTTACAAATGGTTATTCCTACTTTTACGATGTTGATTGTAAAATTACACTATTTTTACTGTATTTAAATTAGTCAAAAATATTATTATTTTACAGATATTTGACATTAAAAAAAAATGTTTATTAAGGCTTGAAAACAGTAAAAATATTTTTAAAAATTTGCTTCCATCTCCAGCCCCTGCATTGGGTGTTTTCATTTTATTTATTTTTTAAAGTCAACCTAAAATGACACTGTATGGTATGTAAATCAACTAAAGATATTATTATTTTACATATATAATTTACAATCTTATATTTCCTTTCTTTCTTTTTTTCCTTCTTTAAAAAAAAAATCATTTAAAATGTATTTTATTTTTATTTTTTATTTTTATTTTTACAATTTTCCACTATTTTTCATTTATTTTTATGGCACCTTGCTGCCAGACTTTTACAGTTTTTTCCCAGTATATAATCCACTTTTTGGAATTCACAGACCTATTTGATGTATCTATATGTCCTGATGCAAACATACATGTATGCGTGACTCTCTGTGTGTCTTCAGAAGTGGCTACGACGACGCCTTCATGGCCCAGCTGGAGGGGAACCTCAACCCTTTCTTCCAGGCCATGTGCCGAGCTCAGACGCTGCAGCTGCCCCACAAACGCAGCAGCATGGTCAGCCTGGACAGCATCCGAAGAGACCCGCGTTGGAGAGACCCCAACCTGCACGAGGTCATCTCGATGCTCAGCCACCCGATGGACCCGGTCAAGTCCAACGCAGCTGCCTACCTGCAGCACCTGTGCTACGAGAACGACCGAATCAAGCAGGAGGTCCGCCAGCTGAACGGGGTGCCTATCTTGGTGGAGTTACTGGACCACCCTAAACCTGAAGTCCATCGCAAGGCCTGTGGCGCGTTGCGTAACATCTCATATGGGAAAGACCACAATAACAAAATGGCCATCAAGAACTGTGACGGCATCCAAGCTTTAGTCAGACTACTGAGGAAGACCAGCAGCATGGAGGTCAAAGAGTTAGTCACAGGTATCGCTGAACTTTTTTAGCCTTTCAGCAACGACGTGCAACCTTTCAAGTTTGTTCTCCAGCTTCATGCTTAATCATACTGTCTCCCTGCAGGCACTCTGTGGAACCTCTCATCACATGAGCCACTAAAGATGACGGTCATCAACCAGGGACTTCAAACACTGACTGATGAAATCATCATCCCACACTCAGGCTGGAGGAGAGACTCGGCCGACCCCTCCAAACAGCAGAGCGCGGACTGGACCACGGTCTTCAAGAACACCTCTGGGTGTCTGAGGTAACCCCGGCTAAAGCTGTTGAACAGATGACAGCAGCTCACTTGTAATGCAGCCTTCGCTTAACGAAGTTATTTCTGCAGGAACGTCAGCTCGGACGGGGCGGAGGCCCGACAGAGATTGAGGGAGTGCGAGGGGCTGGTGGATGCGCTCCTGCACGCCCTTCAGTCAGCTGTTGTCAACAAGGACACGGACAATAAGGTCGCTGAGTCATCGCTTTCATTTCAATTTTGAGAATAAAAAATGACGCCCAGGAGGGTTTTTTTTTCCTCATGATTTTATCATTTATTAAAGCCACTATGTGTAGAATTTAGATCAGGGCATCTTTCAAACCGTAATCGCACAACTGGCAGCACTGTTATCTGGTGCCTCTGTTTAATTTGGAAGCGCTGCATGAATATTTTATAAGTAGTTTATGATTTGCTATAATGCATCTGTAAGCAGGCATTTAAAATCCCTCTCTGGTCTTTTATTAAACCCCCTAAAAATCTGTGAATTAAAGTTACATACTGTGTCTAGAATTAGCTTTCTCCTTCCTGCCTTAAAATGGCTTCGATTTAACTCTGCAGTGCTGCGTCATCTGCGGATCTCTCTGCTGCTCGAGCACACCAGCTCACCTGTGACTCTGCTCAAACAATTCAAAACTACTGATGGCAACTTCTAATACTGGCGTGATTCAGACATTTATGTTGGCAAAAGGAAACTGATCCTAAAGCAGAATAAAAACGCAGAAAGTTCAACACTGCAAGTTTGCAAGATTAGCATCTTAAGTTACATAGAAAAGGCCAAAAGCTTGAATCTATGTTTCTGAATCTGCTATGAGAGCACTACAATTTGCTCATGATGTGTCTTCCAACATCTTAAAAAACCACCATATTGATGTATAATATAAAGCTTATTTTATATTATTAAAAGTGTGATTTACTAAATTATCATTTGTTTGACAGGAGGAGTCTTATCGGCTTACACTTATATTCAACTCTATTTTCATTAAATGTTAAATATCTTGCTTGTAGATTATAAATACAAGGACTTCAGGTTTTTCCAAAATATTTTTTTGCTTGTAGGAGACCGTCTTAGGCTCTCAGTCTGTTCATTGGAGTCTATCAGCACGTATTGCTCAGTGCCACAGTTTCATTTCTGATGCTGCCTCTTTACTACTCACACTGGCTTTAAATCATCACTTGCATGTCTAGATGAAGAATAGCAATAGCCATTTATACATCCTTAAGAACCCCAAAAGCTCTCCGTTATATTTCGTCTTTAAACTTTAAACCTGTGTTTGCGTTCTATCTGAATGCAGCAGCTACTCCACACCAAAGAAAAGCAAAGTCTGTCTGGGTTAGTGAACGCATCAATTTCATTAAGACTCTTGTACATTTAGCAATTTAAAGCTACGCTGTAAGAGGGAGTTGTTTTCTTTATACGCACTACCAAGTGAGTTCTTATTCTGAAAATCCATTTCTAATTGACCACAATCCACCGAGACTTTTGGCAGCAAACAGCCCTGTTTATGATTACATCTGATTCAGACCTTTAATGCAAGTCATCAAAGCGCAAGTATGGATGCGGTTCTTTAAAGTCTGTGACATTACCACAGAATTCCAATTTTTTTTTTTCAAGAGAAATCAATATTTTTTTTTCCTCTCAAGAGCACAACTAGTCTGTATAATATAGCTCTGTGTGCAGCGTCTTCGACTCAACTCTTCTGTCTTCCATTCAGTCGGTGGAGAACTGCGTCTGCATCCTTCGAAACCTGTCCTACCACGTTCACAAGGAAATACCGGGAGCCGAGCGGTTTCAGGAGCCCCACGCCAATCACCTGATGAGGTCGGTGGGGCATCAGAAGAAGAAGAACGAGCCCGACTGTTTCACAGGGAAAAGACCCAAAGGTTGGTCGGCTGTTACTGTATTTATAGAATCTCATATAGAATTTGTGTGACGTCACTTTTCATTGCTCAGGTTGATTTATTTACCCGTGCAGCGTGGGGACACGTTTCTTGAGATTCATAATAAAACTTAAGATTTGCTCCATGCAAGATCTGAAAGGAACTTCAAGTTTCAAACGTCTAAAACAAATCCGCCTCTAATTATACAATCATTTTCCTGAAGGTTTTACAGTTTATGAATGGAAATCTACTCATAATGTTGTTTTTTTTCCTTCCTCTTCTTCTTCATTTTGCTCTACATACAGTTACTACAAGATGTATTTTCTTAAGTTACACTTCTTCTAGGATGCCAGTAAACCTGCTATTTTCTCTGTTTTTAAACTTTCATTTGCTGTTGGCATGTTCTGGCTTCCAGCATCACATTTCTTTCCACCCTTTCTTTTTTTTTTGTTGTTTTCAGAGCCTGAATATTTCATATCTCTGCACATGGAGGAGCTGCTGATAGATTTTGCTTTGCTGGAAGAATGCCACGTTCCCAAATTGAAAAAGCTTGCTTGTTACATTGTGTGATTATTTTTTATTTTATTTTTTTACACCACATAACAATCAGGACACGGTTTAAGGCCATAAAAAGCGGATAGAGATGCGTAACTCATATACGTAAATAACAATCTGAATTATAGCTGAAGTGCAGTAATTAATAGACTGCAGCAGTTTGTGCTGGAGGCAACAAGCTAATGGAGAAACATTAGAGTGATTTAAGGTTTTACGGCTTTCAGCGGCGCTAAAATCGACAAAAAATCCTCCCCGAGCCAAATATGAACCTGGTGCTGCGTCTCGCCACACGGAGGAGCTCTGTGTTTTCTGCTGCCGTGCCCTTTTTTGCAGCATTAATCTAATCTCTGACGCTGTTCTTTCTTTCCCCTTCTTCTCCCGTCAAATCACATTCATCAGAGGAGTGGTTCAATCAAGGTCAGTCCGCTCATTACTCCTGAATATTTCCACGGCAGTAATATCGTGATTCCACAGCACAATGAATTTGCTGACATTACCTGTCTGTGTACTTTGACGAAATGAACACTGGTGTTTGTGTTTGTGTGCATGTGTGTGTTTCTGTGGTGTACAGGTTGGAAAAATGGATTTATGGACAGAAAATACAGTACATTGGATTTGCCAAAACGTACAGAACTAATGAAAGGTATATCTTTTGAGAGAAAAAAAAAAAAAGAAAAACCCCGTAATATCAGCTTCACCCTGAAATATTGACTGCAGTATGACTCACTGTGACATTTGCAAATAGGTGGGCTTTTACATTAGGCTTTGCTAATAGATCATGAAGTGCTTCCATCATGTCCCATCATCAGTACCTGCTTCTCTGTGTTGTCTTATTTACTGTGTACGCATGACGCTGGCATGGCCTGTAGGGGAATTCATTTAAATGCAAAGCCACACATCTGCACCTGCACCGCTTGCCGAGAGTTTCATTATTAAAACAGAATGGCCCATCAACTGAGAGACTTTTTTAAACATTTCACCTGGCAGCATCTCGACGAGGAACATTTCCTCTGGCACTATAAGATGGGCACTGGCATTTACTCAAAACACTGGCTGACCTATATACGGTACCTGCCTTTATTTAGAGCTGCTAAACTATCATCACATTTGGTCGAGCCTAATGGGTGTTTTTGGCCATGGATGCAGCCTCTGTATATATATTTAAAAAAATAAAAAGAATGTCAGGCCTGGGTACTGTATATGTAGATCTGGCTGCCATTAGAACAGAGATCAGAGCTTAGCTTTTGCCCACACTGCAGCCATGAATGCAAATCAGGATGACAAGCACGTTACGGTTCAGGGTCAGCTTTATAATACTTGTCAGCCATCCAGCAGCCTTCAACTGGCGCCGTACAAAAAACTCTCTGCAAGAGTCTGCCGGAGTTGTAATTGTCTTTCATGCAGTTTAATTAAATTAATCAATGTATTTAGCTTCTAACCTACCAACCTTTTTGAACCAAACTGGCCTAGATAGAAGAAACTGCGGAATACATTTGCATTTATACAAAGCGGTTTGGTGGCTTAAAGCTAATGATTAACGACACTGACAGTAACGCAGCCAGATAAAGTTTGTAGGTGGTCATGTTTTCTCTGGCTTTTTCTGTTCAAAGGGTTGGAGCTGCTGTACCAGCCGGAGGTGGTGAGGCTTTACCTCTCCCTCCTCACATGCAGTCACAACCACAACACCCTGGAGGCAGCTGCAGGAGCGCTGCAGAACCTCGCTGCAGGACACTGGGCTGTGAGTACATGGACGGCTTCCAAGTCGTTTCTTACACTCGTGACTATTGGGGTTGTGGAGCGTGCATTAATCTTTAAATCTATGCTCGTGACACCTGCTTAGACACAGAGTAGGATGTTGCAGGGATGTGTTTCCGGATAATTGCTGTGTCTCTCTGCAGAGAGCTAAAATAGAGATGTAGGGAAAAATAATGTGGATTTTCAATGTATGGAGTGGGCTCACCCTCTGAATCAGCCTCCACAGTGCAGGGTCAAGCAGCTCTGCTCACCTCAAGCCCTTACTTGTGGGTTATACGCGCTCCGAGCTTTTTTCTTGGCTGGTTGGTTTTGTTTTTGAGGCGACATCATTAATCAACTTAATCCGAACGGACTCTCTAGACGGACGTTGTCATCAGCCCACATGATCAAAAATAACTTCTGCTGCTACGTCGCCCCGAGTGGGTCCATAGGTCCTCCGAATAATGGGCCAAAATATACTGCGCCATCCACGAATGTCACTATCGCTCAAGATCAAGTTTGTACCCAGTTTAAAGGACTGATGAAATCTTTCAATTTTGAGTCACAGGGAAGCAGCACATAACTGACTTGTGGTACAATTTGTAATTTACTGTGTTTTTTGCTCATAGTGGTCCAGCTACATTCGGGCGACGGTGAGAAAAGAGAAAGGGCTTCCCATTCTGGTGGAGCTGCTGCGCTCAGATGTGGACAAAGTTGTGCGAGCCGTGGCTATCGCTCTTCGCAACCTGGCCATGGACAGAAGGAACAAAGACCTAATAGGTCCACGCTTGTAACTCTCCCCAACCTGCACACAGCTCCAAAGCAGCACCTCGCTCTAACCTTTTGCTGTGGTGTCCGTTATTACAGGGAACTATGCTCTGAGGGACCTCGTCGGTAATCTTCCTTGCGGGCAGCAGCACCCGGCGAAGAATCTTGAGGGAGACACCGTGGTGTCTATTCTGAACACGATTCATGAGATCATCACGGATAACCCGGAGAACGCCCGAGTGCTGATTCAGGGTCACGCCGTGCAGAAACTGGTGGCCATAAATAAGTCAAGGTACGTGAATGTCACGCCTCTGCTCAAATGTCAAAAAAATCTACTGCACTCCAAAAGAAACGTACCTAAAAGCTGCTACTGATCAAATAGTAATGGTGCGCCTGTGAGACTTTTTTCAAAACTGACGGATGAAAGATAGAAGAAACTGCATCGGCATTAAAGCATTATTTTCTGCAGTTAACCTACTTAATATCTGATTATACTGCTGTCAGCCTCGATGCATTATCTCATGATATTATGAGCATCACATCCCGGGGCACTCAGAATTGGATTTTAATCATTTAGACAGTAGTGTCTTGGAGCTATCCCCTGCTGTTTACCACAATGTGCGATGATTTGTTGTCAGCCAATCAGCACGGGAGACCAAGGCGGCTTCCCACGTGCTTCAGACAATATGGGCCTACAAGGACCTGAGAAACACTCTGACCAAGGCAGGCTGGAACAAGAGCCACTTTAAGGTATTTACCTCTGAAACAACATAGATGGTGTCAGCCACATTTCAGCCCTAACAGAATTCTGAATGAGGCATGACCGTACAAACCCGTTCACACCTGGTGGTGCGTGTCGAGCTGTCAAACACGGATGAGGGGGAAAAAACAAAAATCTGTGCTTTGTCAGGAGAAGAGGGAGGTGATATTTGGGGCTTGATATGAAAGCAGGAAATCATGTGTGCAGTAGGCATCAGGCCAGTAAGCAGCAGGACACGAGATGCGCTTTATGTAAGGTGTCATATGGATCAATAACTTTAAGCTCATAGTCTGATGTTGCAACCAAAACACGATGTTACTGCCCCTTTATAAAATTACAGCATCATCCATCCATCCATCATCCAGTAACAGCATGTTTTTTTTCCTCCTTCTTCTTGTCTTTCAAAGCCCACGACTACCGGAGTGACTAAAAAATCCAAGAGTGGAAAGCAAGGCAGCGATGACATCACCTTGCCTCTCATGGACAAAAACCAAGGTCAGAAAATCACAGCATGCATTCCTTCAGAGAAATATTATTAAACCATCATCTCAATGAGGAAAGTGTCCTCTGGCTCAGGGAACAAAAAAACGCTTTTAAACATCCTGAGGTTCTTGTCATGTCAGGGACAAAGAAATGGGCATTTTTCAGTCCCAGAACATATTCTTCTGAAACATACCCTTAAACCAATGATGTGCTGCCAAGGTTATCAGCGCACCGACTTGCCTTATTAGCCTGAGCAGTCTCTCCCAGAGGCAGGGCAGGCTCACGCATCACCAGTCACATTTCATTTTCAGCGTTTTTTTTTTTTTCCAAAAGGGCAGCCACTTTCCCACGTCGAGAGCGACCTCTAGCTTCGCACCGAAACAGGGACTTTCTCTTAAGGCTGCCTTGTGAATCATGAACACGACGCTGTTTCTCTCTTGCTGGTGTTTCGGTCTAAATGAATATATGTGCACTTTTGAAAATTTGTGTCACTTAACAGGGCGAGAGGGAAACAGTCCTTAAAAAACTCATCATACAACTAAAAAAAAATCAGTTGAATGTAAATAAATGAATATTCAATTCAACGTGTTCAATAAATTTCATTATAAGTTTATTCTTGAAGCCAGAAAACTTGACTAAACTAAAAACATTGTAAGGTTTTGACCGTAATATTTAGATTAGTCTGGTAAGTTTGTAATATTATTATTATTTATCTCAAATGCATAACACAGTGGTTCAAGTTCTGTTTTTTAAAATCCATCCATTCATTCCAGCTGACTCAGGGTGAAGGCAGGTTCACCTGGACAGGTCACCAGTCTATCACAGGGCTACACTTAGAGACAGACAACCAAGCACCCTCACATTCACACCTACGGACAATTTAGAATCACCAATTAACCTCATCATGTTTGTGGACCTTGTGGGAGGAAGCCAGAGAACACGCAGAAAGATCCCGGGTGTCCTCACCGGGACACGAACCGGCGACCTTCTTGCTGCGAGGCAGCGGTGCTAACCATCTAGCCACCTTGCAGCCCTGTTTTTTAAACTGTGCTATATAAACAAGGATGACTTGACTAATTGCTAAAGAGCCAAATCAAGCTTATAGGTCAAACTATGCATTTGAGCAACAAAGCCAGTAAAGTTAGAGAAGTGTTCACTATTGTCAAACTAATCTGAAACTGAATAACATTATTAGTGGATTCTAAATGTGCAGATGTGTGTCGGGGAACATTTACAGATAAAGCTCCTGAGAAACTTCCACAGCCACCAGAGGGGAAAAAAAAAAGTAGTGTTCCTGCATGTTGAATATTTTCTGCTGAAATTCGTCTGAAATTATAGATGCAACTATGTGACTTTGCATTGCTTGGTGAGAATGAAAAATAACGATGATTAGTTTTTACTATAAACTGTTCTGTTTACTATCCAAATGTAGATTTTTGCCATACTGTTTACTGCTAACATACTTTTCCTTTGCAGACGTATACGCCAGCTTAGAGCCAAATGACAGAGTTGGAGATGGAAAGGGGCCTGTTGTGGAAAGAGACAGTCTTCAGGTAATCTGCCTTTTTATTGTACCTAAACGACAGAATCTTATCTCAGTTGTTTTGCACGCACAACGGACTTCATTACCTGCTAGTACCAGTAGTGCTGTCGCTGTTACGTAGGATTGGCACATGGGAGTTTTATAACAGGACTTTGTTTTGAAGGATTTTTCTTTCTTGTGACTTGTGTTCCCAATGCAAATCGACCCAGGCGATAAGTGAGCGAAAACACTTCATCAGAGCTGGCAGGCCTGCAGTGGGCCTCATGGATAACAAACCTCCACCGCTGGACTCCTGGGTGTAAACACAACAACACGTCCAGTCAAGCCGCTTAAATCCTGTAGAGACACTTTCCACCGGTGAAATACGGATTCGTGCCATCTGATCATTCTTGTACAGACAAACGCGTTCAGTTAAAAATGATTCCTTTGTTTACAGGAGATAATGTGCCAAACATTTACACGTACCTATTACAGAGGTTATTTGGCAATAGATTTTAAGGATTTATTCCTTTTAGGATGATTACACTGTACGTCTCAAGTTTATGATGGATTATGTATGAACTAGCCCAAATATGCAAACTGTGGTGAATCATGACTCCAAAGAATATATAACATGTACAATTTAAATTTTACTGCTTATCTACGGTATACTTCTAGTTTGTCGAGCTATTTAAGGCCTAAAATGACATGTGGATTAGTTTTTCCATTGGTTCGGGGCTTTAGATAGACCCTAAATTAATTTCGGTTTAATACTTTTCTTCTATGTTAGAGACATTTAGGATTAGGGCTATCATCGGCCTAACCACCCTAATTATTTGGAGTTTCAGTTCATTCTTGCTAAATCAGAGTAGACTGTGGGTTCATTAGCAAATCTCTATATAAGTCTTTATTCCATTTGTTTCGAGGTAGGCAAAATGGGATTGTAAATGTGTAACAAAGGACTGTTAATATTCTAAATGAAGGCATTTATATTGTAATGTTTATTGTAATACCCATGTTATTAATTAAAAGTTATTTATGTGTATTAGCTAATACGAGTAAGTGATCCTACATTCAGTACAACTCTGCTTTGCAGTGGTCCTTTTTGCATTGCGATGTTGAATGACAATGAAAATAAATGATGTGCATAATTTCTCATTTTTTTGGGGGTCGTATTCTCTGTTTGTGTTACAGACTAAAATTAATATCCTGTTCTGTTAATTACCGCGCACCTGTGAGCTTTAACAGTAGCCACGGGCAGAAAAAAAATCCTCACTCTTATGTATCTGAGGCAGGCTTTAGTTACTAGAATAAAAAAACTGAGTTCAGCTGAATGGTCTTTGCAGGCAGTGATTTGTGGATGCTCCTTTTCCAAATGTCCCTACATCATTGTCATCCATAAAATATTAAGGAGCCCCTCCAGTACTAATGAAGTTTTCTACCTTGTCCATATGGTGTATTTTATATTCTAGAAGATGCATCACGAGCAAAATAAGCAATCAGTGCCAGTTTCCACTTTAAAAATGCAGTCTACAGATGACACACAGATTGAGACTTCCAGAGTTAAAAATGTCACAAACTAAAGGAACCAAACCTGACAACTTGCACAGTGAAGAGAAGTTGTAGGTGAGCTGGTGTGCTCAAGCTGCAGCGATTAAAGGGCGGGTGGTGAAAGAAGTTTGGACTAAAGGTACATTTAAGCCATTTCAAGGCTGGTAAAAAGTCTAAATGTGTAGTTTTTGAACACGGAAATAAGTTTTTTTGGGGTTTAATCAATGACGGAAAGGACACTTTGAGCATTTGTATTTTGGATGTGATCTCAGTTGAGGCTAAACTCCAAAATTATTCGCTCTGTGATGTACAAATTGAAACCACATAAGATCAAATTGGCTGCTTTACCACTTGATGCACATGTTTCATCTAATCCAGAAGTACAGAGAGTGTTCTACAGTGGCCTCTTGTGGAGATTGCAAAACATAAATGAATAATGCGATTAACTGATAATTGATTTGCTGCATTTGACAGAAAAGTCATAAAATCATTTCATACGTCTGACTTGGCTCATGTGTTGTGGAAGTGCAATCATTCTTGTATCTCTACATTCTTTTCTGTTTTTAAAATGATTTATAAAGGCTCTGTCCTTTAATTTCGGTGTGGTGCGGGCCACAGCGGTTCTTGAATCAAGTTCTGTGTTGATCTAAAGTCACTGTAATGTCAGCGTTTCGTCAAACAAACGGCATACATCAAGATGAGGCTCTATCAGCGGACTTTATGGAAACTCATAAGTTCCTGCAGTGGAGAGAGAGAGGAGGGCAGAGCAGGGCCTTAGTGACATCTCCAAACATGTCAGCACAGCACATTGGACAGCACAGCCCTGCCCTCAGAACCAAACCACAAGATCAACAAGGGCAAAGCTGTTTTCTCTTTGCCCCTAACCTGTTGTCCTTTAAAACGAAGGAGAGTCCTCCCGAGAAAGGTTGAACTGCCCTCAGGTTTCTTCTCCGAGGGATCCACATCTTCTCATCTGATGCTCAGTCTTTTGGATTTAAACCTTTCCTGCATTCAGCCATGACCGCTTCAGTTTTCTCCAACCTCGGCTTCGTCCACTCTCTGAACGTCCTGCTCCTGGTGTTGACTGGTTTGAGCCGGGGCAGTCCCATCAAGCCCAGCGAGAGCCGCGGCAGGGCCTCGGTTAGTATCGATGTGGACGACAATCAGCTAGTGGATGCGCAGGACTTTCTGAGCCAGTTTCTGTCCACGCTGAACCTCACGATGCTCAGGCCCCAGACCAGGCCCCTCGCTGCCCATAAAGAGCCACCACAGTACATGCTGGAGCTGTACAACCGATTCGTCAACGACCGCACTGCTGTGCCGTCAGCCAACATTGTGCGCAGCTACAAGAACGAAGGTACAAACTAATTATTGCTTCAAGTTTTTTGACAGCTTTATGTATTCACTTTTATGTCTTTTTGTCTTGTTTGTATAACTGGACAACCTTGATTTATGTAAGTCAAAGCGATGCAATGTGAGAGATGCTTATGATTGAATGAAACTTTTATTATAATGCTGATATGTTTAAAAGTAAATTCAGTTTTCATCCAAAAGACACTGAAACGTCCTTTTTGCTGTCTTCATTTCAGATTCTTCCCCCTACAGTATAGGGAACAGGGGTGTAAGGATACATCCCCTCCTGTTCAATATCTCCTTGCCCCACCACGAGCACATCACAATAGCAGAGCTTCGACTTTTTACTCTGGTTCGGAGAGCCCAGAGACCATATCCTGGCATTGATTGCAAGGTGACAATCTATAAAGTGCACGAGGGTGTCGTCTGGACAAAAGAGGTGGGGAAAGAAGGGAGAAGGAGGGATAAAGAGGAGGTGGTGGAGATGAAGGATTTGGAGGAACTGGTGACAAAGCATATCCGTGCCAAAGATAATAGCTGGGTGTTGTTTGACCTGACTCATGTGGTCGCGCTCTGGCGGAAGTCGGGGTGTGCGACTCACAGACTGGAGGTTCACGTTGCGAGTGTGGGGTCACGGGAGGATGAAGGTGCCGCGGAGGAGGGACCGGTGGAGATTGACTTTGACAGGAGCCTGGACGGGAAACACAACGCGGTGATGATTGTGTTCTCAGATGATCAGAGCAGAGATTACAAACAGGACAAACAAGAGCTCAACACGATGATCAGACATGAGAATGACCTTCCTGAAAACGTGGGCAGGAGCCAGCAGCCGCTCTGGGATCACGTTAATCACAACACCGGCCATGTTAACCAGGACGAGCCGGACAAACAGTCTCTCATGCAGCTGCAGTCCAACCTTATCTATAACACACCTCCTCGAATCCGTCGCAATGTTAAGAGCGAGTCATGCAAGAGGACGCCTCTCTTTGTGGATTTTAAAGACATCGGCTGGGATACGTGGATCATCCAGCCTCTGGGCTACGAAGCGTACGAGTGCAACGGCGTTTGCAACCCGCCCATGACCGCTGAGGTCTCGCCTACCAAACACGCCATCGTGCAGACACTGCTGAGCGTTAAGAGTCCTGAGAGAGCATCGCGTGCCTGCTGTGTTCCCACTAAGCTGGAGCCCATCTCGCTCCTTTATCACGATAACGGGGTGATCACGTTCAACCACAAGTACGAGGGGATGGTGGTGGCAGAGTGCGGCTGCAGATAGTCCAACACTCAGAGGCAGAGACTGTGCACTGGCGGATGTAGAGAAATCATCTTTGAAACATCTATCTATCAATCTATCAATCTATCAATCTATCAATCTATCTATCTATCTATCTATCTATCTGCTGCTCTTCTACAGTGGTGTGTGAAAACACAAGTCTGGACTTAGCTGTAAACTAGAGATGTACACATGATGTAAATTTGCAATTGTATAAAGGCAAATCAATTATTATTATTATTATATTAATGTAGAATATAAACCCTTTAAAGCAACGCCGCAATGCTTTCTGAACAGTGTGTCATGTTTTATTAGAATCATGTGCTATTTTTTGTATTTTAGGGTGTTCAATAGGTTCTACAGTTCTTTGTTAATAGCGACACAACGCCATATGCATCTGGCACAGCAATGGACAAAATTAAAAGAAGACAGAGAGCAAATATCTTAATTCCTTGGTGCAAGTTTCTGCCATTAGAGATCAGTCAAATGGTTCAATACCAGCTACAACAGCAACCTTCTAAATAATTTGGAAATACTCATATGAGGTCTGTGTAAATACAAAAGATGCACCCGTCCCTCAGATTTTCAGTCTGGTGAAGTTTGTTTTTGTGTGCACTAAATGGCTCTTGCCTATCCCAACTAGATAATTATCTTCAGGATAACCAGCGTTTTTAGACAGCTACATTAAAATAATATGCACTTCTGACGGAATACTGTTTGCTTTTCCTAAATATGAAAAGCCTTGTTTGTTATTGAATAACAGTCTTGCCAGAATGCTTTATAAGGAGATATACATGCTGCAAATTTGTAAATGGGATAATTCGTTTCTGTGCCCTGTGGCATCTTGGAGCCACTGAGAGGATTTAAAGACTGTGACATTTTTTTTCTGCTATTTGCCTGCCAAACTTGCAGAAAATGTATTTTCGATGGCTTTTGACCAGGAGAGGATTTTCACGGTGTGTTGGAGCTCCTAAGGGCTTCTGCGAAATCTAATTTCTCTTACCCAACGTTTGCTGTCAACTGCTGTGAAATCTTTCTTTATACCAGCCATTCATATTGCTGCTTTCTGTTCTCACAATGACGCGCATGTTACCGGGGCGGTAAAAATAAAAAACATCGGAAAACAAAATTGCGCTCGCTGAGCAATTTCTGGACTCCTGTGCAACCCTGGTTCACTGTCAGGTAATCACAGCACTCGCCATCTAACAAGCTTAATCCCTCCATCCCTCTGGCGTCACATGCCTGGCGGGCCTCTCGCTGCCCGCTTCCATGCCACCGGTGATAAAGAGGTGTCAGAGCCTGGAGTCTTGTAGACCATCACTCAGGATGAGACGCCACTCCAAGTGGCAGCATTTGTGGGAAGGTGGTGTCAGATTCCTGCTCTCCAGCGCCAACATGCTCTATTGACAATCCTGCCATCGGGTCGCTCGCTGCCCTCTGAACCCTCCCACTTCCCTTTTGTGACACTGGCATGCGTTACGCCCTTATCACGGCCACGGCAACAGTACAAATGGAAAAAAATACACGTCACATCAGCACCTTGCTTCTGCTGTTAACAGTCGGAAGTAGATAGCAATAATGGCATAACGCTGTGGAACTTTCTAACTTAATAGGACCCTCACTCGGCGCAGATTTACACGGGACAAGTGTGCACCTCGGGCTGAGATATCGACAGGCAGCGAACAACACATTGTGTCTCTAAAACTGGATTTAAAGTTTTTAAATACGTGGGAAATACTTCTAAAAATAGCAACATCACTTTTGAGAAACTGCCGTCTTTGCTTACTATCGCTTGCTGTTGTAGTTTAAAGCCTGTTTCATTTGTAATTCCTTGACTCATAATTTAGTTTATTTATTCAAACTATTTATCTACTTTTTCTAGATTTATAAGACACCAAAATGGGCATTTGATTTACTTCATCATCATTAAGAAACACTGAGAATTTGACACTTTGAACCACAAACGTCTTTTCTGTGAATATAGTTTGGAGCTGTGCTGTAAGATACACTATGCTAATTAAAGTCATAAAGTTAAGCTTGTTAACTGCCGTAGCTGGAAAACTACTAGGAGGAAATGTTCAGATATTCTTCTGGTGCTGCGGTGCAACCCGAAGGTGATCCTTTGTGTGGCATCAGAAACACTGATCGCTCCGAGGATAACACAGAGACTATTCATTGCTCTCGGCCGCATGAAAGCAAAAGAGGAATTTACCGAAAGACTTATCTGATCCCCTTCACCTCCAAACAATCAGATTTGCTCTGAGGATTTTAGTAAAACTGGTGCCTCTTCATTGGCTTTCTGAAAGAAGTCCAAATCATTTCAAATGATCTCGCCCTCTTCAACAGGGAGCTCTCAGAGGACTGACTTGCAGTAGCTGCTTCTAAGAGGGTATTTTACCCTTGAATTCATCTAATTTACTTTCATTTTGTTTGCTTGAACCCTCTCCACTAAGTGTGTTAGTGGGTTAATTGTGCATTGCATCATGGCTATTAGACTGGGCTTATTAAAAAAGTGAAGGTTAAGAATACACTTAACATATGAATGATAACAAAGCTTCAATAAAATGCGTATGGAAAACCTCCACAAGTGTTGCTTCTCCATAAA